CCATAATCGGAATTAGTGCTCTGCATTTATCCCATCCAAAGTGCACACACACACACACACACACACCGTGAACACACACCCGGCAGTGGGCCAAGTACATTGTTTACTCCTCACCTAATGACGTCATTTCTATCGTCCTAGCTAATGAAAATACGCTCAAACACAAAAAGCAAACAAAAAAAATACGCTCAAACACATTCAAATAAAGTAATTTGTAATCATAACTTAAGTTAAATAATAATAATCATCACCATCATCGTTGTCTTGGAAAAGTTTCTTACATGTGCTACAGATGTTTTACAAGTCTTATAAATATGTTGAACTAGTCTTCATTAGCTTTTTACAGAAACGAGGATTCAGCTCATAAAGCTTAAACTATAACGTGCATACAATAGTAAATAGCAAATTTCATTTACGTTTTCACTGAACAGTTGTTGCATGTTCATCATGTTAAAAATGGTGTTTGATATAACTAATAGCATTCGCATTTTCCAGTAACTTTAGGCGTACGTTTTAATTTTTTTTATTAACTTACATTTCGCCAAATTCACAGTGTAAAGGAGATCCGAGAACCGCGGCTGTAACAGTTCGGTAGAACACTCAGGCTGTTTGTATTCATCAGTTCTCTCAGCACAGCATGTCTCAATTCAGTGAACGTTTGGAGTTAATGGTGTAACATATACTCCGAAATATTGGTTTATTTCAAGTCTGAACGTCTGAAAGTGAATAAACACGAATTTGCCTGGCAGTGCGTGTGGCTCCCGATTAACGTTAGTTCGCAAAATGTGATTGCCTGAAATCAAAACGCGGACGGTGAGCGCCAACGAAACAAGCCTAAATTAACATTATAGAAATCACAAATCAGGGTACTTACCCATTCCATTATCTGCAGTCCATAAAGTCAATCTGTAATCGTTTAAACGCGGGCTCCTTCATCTTTTCTTGCATGATCAGCAACTTCTCGTGCAGAAAATGGCGGATGGCGCGTCTCAAGTTCGTTAAAATAGTACGTCATCATGACGTAGAGTTTCTGGCACTTTATTTAAAGTTTTCCATTTCCCTTCAAGTTGAGGTTGTTATAACTCATCATATTGTGTAGTGAGACACTGAAAGTTGACAGGACATGATTTTACTTGTCCACCTGACTAAAACTCAGAATCATTTTTTACAGTGTAGGTACTGTGCAGGTAAACCTACCCCCCTAAACCTCACTGCCATCCGGGTCACGGCACCAATGTAACCCCCCGGGTCCTACTACACACACCCGCTCCGAGCGGGACTCGAAACCTGGTCTCCGGCATGGGAGGCAGGTGCACTAACAAGGTGGCTAAAGACCTCAGCACCTAGCGTCAGTCGCTAGTGCACCTCTTGAGATCAGGGGAGTGAGGTCTACCTGCACAGCACCTACCAGCCGGCCTCCGTTACAAGAGCATACACAGCAAGATCTTTGAGTAAAGGAAATGTGCCATTTTCAGTTTTTATACAGCCATACGCGATTGTGTTTGGACCTCTCATTTGTCTGAAGTGTGCGTACACCTCTTCAGGCTGCATTTGTGATGGCATTTATTTAATTTATTATTACTCAGAAATAGTTTAGTAGTTGAGTCACTTGTTCCATTTCTAATGATATGTATTGTATGTCAAAGTGGCTGAACAAAGTGCTTTGTCATCAGGAGTATGTGGTTCTTGCATATACATGGATTTATTTTATTGTAAACGTTTTAGTGTAAAATTATTTATGAATCATAAATTCTGAATGAGAATGTTCATACATAATTTTTTACATACATATATGTGCAAATGCACTGAATGAGATCCACTGTCCTCTCATATTTTGTGATTTTGTGTTTCACTGTATTGTTATAATTTGTGAAGTTACATATTTGAGTTTTATAGAAAAAGGCAAATGTCTTAAATTTTACTCTGCATTTATTGAAATGGAATGAAACATGAAACAAACTACTATACAATCAGAAGATTTCAACATACCATATGATTATGTAAGAGAAGAGGGGAGGAGGAATATATAAATAAAATACAGTGTATGATATGAGCCCATTCACCATTCATGAATTACTATTGGTTTATTTTATTCTCCAGCAGGTGAGGTACGGTTGGAGACTGAGATGGGTCTTGAAGTTAAGATTGTTCTGGAGCCTTTGGTGGAACTTAATCGTGGAAGATAGGGTGAGGTTTGTGGGGAGGTTTGTGGGGGGGTTTGTGAGGTGGAGGTTGTGCTGGGTCTTGTGGTGGAGGTGGTGGGAGGGCTTGAGGTGGAGGTTGTGCTGGGTCTTGTGGTGGAGGTGGTGGGGGGGCTTGAGGTGGAGGTTGTGCTGGGTCTTGTGGTGGAGGTGGTGGGAGGGCTTGAGGTGGAGGTTGTGCTGGGTCTTGTGGTGGAGGTGGTGGGGGGGCTTGAGGTGGAGGTTGTGCTGGGTCTTGTGGTGGAGGTGGTGGGAGGGCTTGAGGTGGAGGTTGTGCTGGGTCTTGTGGTGGAGGTGGTGGGGGGGCTTGAGGTGGAGGTTGTGCTGGGTCTTGTGGTGGAGGTGGTGGGAGGGCTTGAGGTGGAGGTTGTGCTGGGTCTTGTGGTGGAGGTGGTGGGGGGGCTTGAGGTGGAGGTTGTGCTGGGTCTTGTGGTGGAGGTGGTGGGAGGGCTTGAGGTGGAGGTTGTGCTGGGTCTTGTGGTGGAGGTGGTGGGGGGGCTTGAGGTGGAGGTTGTGCTGGGTCTTGTGGTGGAGGTGGTGGGAGGGCTTGAGGTGGAGGTTGTGCTGGGTCTTGTGGTGGAGGTGGTGGGGGGGCTTGAGGTGGAGGTTGTGCTGGGTCTTGTGGTGGAGGTGGTGGGAGGGCTTGAGGTGGAGGTTGTGCTGGGTCTTGTGGTGGAGGTGGTGGGGGGGCTTGAGGTGGAGGTTGTGCTGGGTCTTGTGGTGGAGGTGGTGGGAGGGCTTGAGGTGGAGGTTGTGCTGGGTCTTGTGGTGGAGGTGGTGGGGGGGCTTGAGGTGGAGGTTGTGCTGGGTCTTGTGGTGGAGGTGGTGGGAGGGCTTGAGGTGGAGGTTGTGCTGGGTCTTGTGGTGGAGGTGGTGGGGGGGCTTGAGGTGGAGGTTGTGCTGGGTCTTGTGGTGGAGGTGGTGGGAGGGCTTGAGGTGGAGGTTGTGCTGGGTCTTGTGGTGGAGGTGGTGGGGGGGCTTGAGGTGGAGGTTGTGCTGGGTCTTGTGGTGGAGGTGGTGGGAGGGCTTGAGGTGGAGGTTGTGCTGGGTCTTGTGGTGGAGGTGGTGGGGGGGCTTGAGGTGGAGGTTGTGCTGGGTCTTGTGGTGGAGGTGGTGGGAGGGCTTGAGGTGGAGGTTGTGCTGGGTCTTGTGGTGGAGGTGGTGGGGGGGCTTGAGGTGGAGGTTGTGCTGGGTCTTGTGGTGGAGGTGGTGGGAGGGCTTGAGGTGGAGGTTGTGCTGGGTCTTGTGGTGGAGGTGGTGGGGGGGCTTGAGGTGGAGGTTGTGCTGGGTCTTGTGGTGGAGGTGGTGGGAGGGCTTGAGGTGGAGGTTGTGCTGGGTCTTGTGGTGGAGGTGGTGGGAGGGCTTGAGGTGGAGGTTGTGCTGGGTCTTGTGGTGGAGGTGGTGGGAGGGCTTGAGGTGGAGGTTGTGCTGGGTCTTGTGGTGGAGGTGGTGGGGGGGCTTGAGGTGGAGGTTGTGCTGGGTCTTGTGGTGGAGGTGGTGGGGGGGCTTGAGGTGGAGGTTGTGCTGGGTCTTGTGGTGGAGGTGGTGGGGGGGCTTGAGGTGGAGGTTGTGCTGGGTCTTGTGGTGGAGGTGGTGGGGGGGCTTGAGGTGGAGGTTGTGCTGGGTCTTGTGGTGGAGGTGGTGGGGGGGCTTGAGGTGCTGGGTCTTCTGGGTCTTGTGGTGGAGGTGGTGGGGGGGCTTGAGGTGGAGGTTGTGCTGGGTCTTGTGGTGGGGGGGCTGTGCTGGGTCTTGTGGTGGAGGTGGTGGGGGGGCTTGAGGTGGAGATTGTGCTGGGTCTTGTGGTTGAGGAGAAGGTGGAGCTTGAGGTTAAAGAGTTTGCAATGGGACTTGAGGTCGCGGTTTTAGTGGAGGTTGTGGTGGGGCTTGTGGTTGATGTTTCTGTGGAGGTTGTAGTAGGGATTGTGGTGGAAGTTGAGGTTGTAGTAGAGGTTTTGGCGGAGGTTGTGGTGTAGGTCAGACTTTTTGTGGTGGGTCTTGAGGTTGGCTTTGTTGTGGAGGCTGTGGTGAAGATAGGAACTGGCCTGACTGTAGGTCTTGGATGCGGCCTAAAAGGTGGAAAGAGGGGCTGTTGGGCCTCACACGTACTGAACACCAGCAGAACCAGAGCCAACACCGACAGCTTCACTGGAAGAACGCTCTCCATCTCTGATATCTGGAGATTAAACACAGGAAGTTAAACACACATTTTTTGGTTAACCGTTTTACATTTGAGATGCATATTTGACATTTTGATGCGTAATTCCTTTGTGTATATCTTGAAATAAATCCAAGAACAAATCACTATTTTAATGAGTTCAGGCTGACAAATCAATATATGATAAATTAGGAAATAAAAGGTAACATTATTTGAGGTATATGATCTTGCAAACATTAAAAATGTCCATTAGAACCGAATGCATAAATCATAAAATATCAACAAAACACAATTAAGCTGAATACAAACACATTTGATTTAGCAATAATATAATTGCTAATATATATAAATCTCTCACCAGATGTTCTGTTGTTGGAGATAAAGATGAATGAGAGTCTTCAAATGTTCCTCAGACTTCACTGTCTTCTGTATGTGATCCATCAGACTTATATATGTTTGAGTCGCCTCCACCTGCAGCTGCACCTTTGCTTTTGATTCATCCTACCATTATTGATATTTTGTCAATGTTTTTTAAAAAAAAAACATGTGTCAACTGGAAGAAGATGGGCTCTCCCTGCTGAATTTTGGTTCCTCCCAAGGTTTCTTTCTCATCCTCCCTAACCCTTGGGGAGTTATAAAGCACTATTTTCTGTTTGTAGTTGGCTTATAGCAAAATGAATTGAATCTTGTATTGAATTTAATTGAATTTAGGGCTTGATATCTTAAATTTTTTTTTAGCAGATTCATAGCAGATTCACTGCAAAACCAAAAAGGCTGCAGTTACTGTGCAATAACTGCAGTTGTTTTCATGGTGAGATAACTGTGTTAGTTATGCTATGTTGCTGTTGGAGTTTGTGTTTGTGAAACATATAAACATATAATGTTTCTCATTAAATGAAATTCTGTATCTTACTATTAAGTAAGCTGGTTAGCAACTATTCAGGTCATCTTTTTTTTGCTGCACCAGATCACTAAATCCTGACAGTTTTTTCTTTGGGAGGATCAGTTTTCAGGGTGGACCCAACTTCTGTCAAGCCAGTTTAAAACAATGCAATGCAGTGCTTTTTTGATTACCTGATTATGAAAGTTATATAATTCACAATCAAAACCATCCCTGACACACCGTTTTATATTCAGGACCAGAACGGGTTTTGCAACCGTAAGACGTAATGTTGCCTTGGAACAATTATTCAGCTAATCCAGACAATAATAATAATAAAAAAAATAATGATTATAAGACAAAACAATGAATACAGGGTGTTACCATCAAAACAAAACAAAATACTTTACAAAAGAATGATTTTTCTGTGTGAACACAACCAAAAGTAAGTGATAAAGCCATATTAATTTGGATCATTTGCATTTATAATTTAGTAAGAAGTTAAAAGGTGAAATTTATTATTAAATATTACATTATTATTATTATTATTATTAATACTTTATTTTAATCATTAAATATTACTAAATAGACTTTTAGGCATGTGAAACGAATATTCTGGACCACACTTTTTTTTACAATTAAGACACTAAAATGCAGTTTTGGCTGTATGTTGTGCAGTTTTAAAAATGGATGAGATATATTTGTGTAGGATACTGAAAACCACTGCTCTTCAACACTTCACAAGAAACTGGAAACCCTTTGACTACTTGAAAATTTTTTGATTTATCTGGTTGAGATCTTTCTTGTTGTAGTCTAGAGGTGTCACATAACCTGTACATGCTGATACCTCCTGAGACACTCTTTTGATGTGTTCTCGTGTGACTATCTGAAAAATCCTTATTGTATTTTACTCTGTTTATAGAACCTGCTGTGTCACCCGGAAACCAAACTGCAACATTTCATACTGAACCTAAAGTGACATAAAATCACCTACATACTGCAACCTCATTCAACAACCTCAAACTCTTTTATTTCACTCAAGCCATCAACACAAAGATAAGCCCCTCAGAGGAACTAGTGAGGCGATATTTGAGTGGCCAGTCGTTCCCATTTTCCAGGGACAGTGTCTGTATTTGGTGGCCTGTAGCCGTCTAAAAATGTTACCTGAAATGTCCCATTTCTTTTTGAGTATACGTTTAAAACAGACGGCAAAGTGAAAGAACACCCATTTGACAAGTAAGGCAGAGGCGGAGCTCACAGGTTCACTGGACCAGCAGAGGGCGCTGAGCTGATTGTTGTGTTATAGTTCGTCTTCCTCTACTGAAACTGGCCCGTAGTGAACATCCTCGGCGGTGTTGTCTTGTCATCCTTGTCAGCTTCAAATTAAGCCACATAATTACACCTATAAATAACACAATATAAGCCACTTTTAGCACAAAACATACCCCATATTCTATTTAATTTAGTTGCGTTCCGTCTGTTTTTGAACCCAAACTGCCTCCAGAGTCTTGCATTTCCAGATTTTTGCCCCTATTTAGTTTTCTGTAATAGAATAAGAATTTAATGAAAATAAATTTATCATGCAAAAAGTGTGTTTTCATGGCAGCTGTTTAGGGATTTTTCAGTGATTGTCAAACATGACTGAATGAATTCAAGGTGCACTTTTTCATTATGCAAAAATGCAGGTTAAATGCATTTTGGGTTTCTTCACACAATATGTGACCCTGGATCACAAAACCAGTCATAAGAGTCAATTTTTCGAAATTGAGATGTATGCATCATCTGAAAGCTGAATAAATAAGCTTTCCATTGATGTATGGTTTGTTAGGATAGGACAATATTTGGCCGAGATACAACTATTAGAAAATCTGGAATCTGAGGGTGCAAAAAATCAAAATATTGAGAAAATCGCCTTTAATTCTGTCCAAATGAAGTCCTTAGCAATGCATATTACTAATCAAGAATTAAGTTTTAATATATGAAACGAATATTCTGGACCACACTTTTTTTTACAATTAAGACACTAAAATGCAGTTTTGGCTGTATGTTGTGCAGTTTTAAAAATGGATGAGATATATTTGTGTAGGATACTGAAAACCACTGCTCTTCAACACTTCACAAGAAACTGGAAACCCTTTGACTACTTGAAAATTTTTTGATTTATCTGGTTGAGATCTTTCTTGTTGTAGTCTAGAGGTGTCACATAACCTGTACATGCTGATACCTCCTGAGACACTCTTTTGATGTGTTCTCGTGTGACTATCTGAAAAATCCTTATTGTATTTTACTCTGTTTATAGAACCTGCTGTGTCACCCGGAAACCAAACTGCAACATTTCATACTGAACCTAAAGTGACATAAAATCACCTACATACTGCAACCTCATTCAACAACCTCAAACTCTTTTATTTCACTCAAGCCATCAACACAAAGATAAGCCCCTCAGAGGAACTAGTGAGGCGATATTTGAGTGGCCAGTCGTTCCCATTTTCCAGGGACAGTGTCTGTATTTGGTGGCCTGTAGCCGTCTAAAAATGTTACCTGAAATGTCCCATTTCTTTTTGAGTATACGTTTAAAACAGACGGCAAAGTGAAAGAACACCCATTTGACAAGTAAGGCAGAGGCGGAGCTCACAGGTTCACTGGACCAGCAGAGGGCGCTGAGCTGATTGTTGTGTTATAGTTCGTCTTCCTCTACTGAAACTGGCCCGTAGTGAACATCCTCGGCGGTGTTGTCTTGTCATCCTTGTCAGCTTCAAATTAAGCCACATAATTACACCTATAAATAACACAATATAAGCCACTTTTAGCACAAAACATACCCCATATTCTATTTAATTTAGTTGCGTTCCGTCTGTTTTTGAACCCAAACTGCCTCCAGAGTCTTGCATTTCCAGATTTTTGCCCCTATTTAGTTTTCTGTAATAGAATAAGAATTTAATGAAAATAAATTTATCATGCAAAAAGTGTGTTTTCATGGCAGCTGTTTAGGGATTTTTCAGTGATTGTCAAACATGACTGAATGAATTCAAGGTGCACTTTTTCATTATGCAAAAATGCAGGTTAAATGCATTTTGGGTTTCTTCACACAATATGTGACCCTGGATCACAAAACCAGTCATAAGAGTCAATTTTTCGAAATTGAGATGTATGCATCATCTGAAAGCTGAATAAATAAGCTTTCCATTGATGTATGGTTTGTTAGGATAGGACAATATTTGGCCGAGATACAACTATTAGAAAATCTGGAATCTGAGGGTGCAAAAAATCAAAATATTGAGAAAATCGCCTTTAATTCTGTCCAAATGAAGTCCTTAGCAATGCATATTACTAATCAAGAATTAAGTTTTAATATATTTACAGTAGGAAATTTCAAAATATCTTCATGGAACATGATCTTTACTTAATATCCTAATGATTTTTGGCATTAAAAAATCAATAATTTTGACCCATACAATGTATTTTTGGCTATTGCTACAAATGTACCCCAGCGACTTAAAACTGGTTTTGTGCTCCAGGGTCACATATTCTTAGCACCGTATTAAATAGCTTATTCTAAAAGGACCTTTGCAAAAATAAACAAACTTTCGTGTGTGCACGAGAAACCTTTAAACTTAGCACAATGCACACTGAGCCACCTATTGCACCATCAGCCCATTTTGCGGTGTGGTTTCTTGGCCGCCATAGACTAGAGTATGCGTTAAAGCAGACCTAAGGCCTTAAAAATTTGATGTACTGCCCTAACAAAAGGAAAATTTGGAACACTTTTTTTTTTTTATAGTAACAGTCCTTTTTATAGACCCTTGAACTTGGCAAATAGGACAATGCACACAGCCGTATTGTGCCATTAGCCCATTTTGTGTCATGGTTTCTCCTTCGCCACAGAGGATGTGTTAAATTGGACATTAGGCCCTGATATTAGAGGTACTACCCTAAGGAAAGTAACATTTTTATTAATTCATGTGCATCCAAAAGAACAACAGAATATGCACCTGGAGAGCCAGCTGACAACGTCGATTGTCCTCCATGTGTTTTTTTTTCTCCAGTCACTAAAACAATCAAGTGAAGGTGGAGTCCTAATGGAAGAGTTACTTTATTCATAATAAGGTAAAGTATTATGAATGCACACAACACCGGCCCAGTGAGATTCAATGAACAGAGACTGCTTTATTACAATTGCAGACAGAAATGTGAAATGCCACCAAACATCTACAATACCACAGGAATAATATAAAGTTTATTAATGCACAAGCGCCCCCTGTTCAAAGTCTTTAAATGTTTTAAACTCGCACAGATCCCACCACCATCAGAACCATTCAATCAAAGGCAGTTGCTGTGGAAACATCAGACTGTTGTGACTGTATGCAGCTGATCTGCTGGTATTGTTAGTTAGGTAGTCTATATGATTCTGTAGTTGACTGGTTCAAATCTACAGTATTACAGCAGGTCAGGAGGGTAAAATCACAGTGTTGTTCCACGCGACTGTGTTGTTTCACTCATTGGTGTTGCACTCGGACACTCAGCAAAATACAGAGAGGGAACCACAAAGTGACACGCCTTCACCAAAATAGTGCTCAGCCTGTAATACACAAGAGCTTTTGAACATTGAGGCCTAAGTTAACTTCTTAAGCCTGTAATGCAGTTATATTTGAAGTAAACAAGTATATTAATAAATATGCAAAGTGAAACATCATTTGTGCCTAACCTAAAATGCACAACTACTTCATATTTCATTACATTTTATGAGTATTAATGACTTTAAATAATTTGCAAAATTATAAGAGTTAGAGTATTGCACAACGGTCATGGGTTTGAAACCCAGGGAAAGCAAGAACTGATAAAATGCATAAATGTAAATGTAAAATATGAATGTGAAAATATGAATTGCATTGTTTTTGATGCAATCGTGTGCAGACACTTTTTGCATATATGAAGTTATAAACAGTCATAAATTGATTGTTTTCAACTTACGTTACAAGTGGAAGAGTGATGTTGCTTTTGGGTCTAGGTTTACTGTGAAGAAAGGAAACATCACGTTATGAATGAAACCATTTTCACTTTTTTAAGTGTAAGTCATCATAGTTGTGTAAACGTATAATGTTGAATGGACACTACACCAAATTTTGAACGTTTCAGTTGGTTACTATGACTTTAAATAAGAGGGAAAAAAATATCCAAGGATTGATTATAGCCTACTGGTAAGAAGAGAGAAAGACTTCAAATTTGCCGTCACCCCTTGCATTAGAAACACTAGAACACTAGTTTTATGTAATTTAATGCCAGGGTAATAAAACCCAAAGTATAGTGTTATAAATGTACATTAAACTTTTAAAAAATGAAAATATAAAAAGCCAGTAACTATGAAATTACGTCTAGATCATTCAGTATGCAATGCAGTGTCCATAGTCTGTGTACTTACATGCTGCTAATAATGATATTCAGGCAGGCGATGTAATCTGTGACGTCATCTTTAGAAAATATGTATTAAATTGTATCAAAAGTGACAGTATAGTGACAGTAAAGATTTCTATTTCAAGGAAATACTTTTATTTTGCGCTTTGTATTCATCAGTAAAAAAGTTGGTTTACACAAAAATATGAAGCAGCACAACTGTTTTCAGCTTTGATAATAAACACAAATGTTTCTTGAGCAGCAAATTAGCATATTAGAATGATTTCTGAAGAATCATGTGACACTGAAGACTGGAGAAATGATGCTGAAAATTCAGCTTTGATCACAGGAATAAATTACATTTTAATATATATTCACATAAAAAACCTTTCCTTTAAATTTTAGTAATATTTCACAATATTAAAGTTTTTACTGTATTTTTAATCAAATAAATGCAGCCTTAGTGAGCAAAAATGACTTCTTTCAAAAAATCTTACAGACCCCAAAAGTTTAGATTTGTTGCATGTTCAGAGTGACTAGCAAGCCATATTCAACCATTTTGAACACATAACTTGCATTAAATCAGCTGGAAGAACCATATTATTAAGGACCATAAATGAGTCTTACTCGACGTTTTTGTTGTTGGAGATACAGATGAATGAGAGTCTTCAAATGTCTTCAGTACTGTGACCCGTCAGACTTATATATGTTAGAGTCGCCTCCACCTGCAGCTGCACCTGTGCTTTTGGTTCCTCCTACAATTAATTCTGAGATTAATTTTTTGGCTGAATTCGTGTCAGAGGAGGATGGGCTCTCCCTGCTGAATTTTAGACAACCTCCTGGTGTCTTCATCCCCCCAAACCAAACATCTTGGGCACGCTGGGCAAATCCTTATTCAAACATTTTAAAAATGTTTTTAAAAAAACAGCCCATGTTTGTTGTGAATGTGCCATTCAGGTCATTTTAGCTTGTATTTTTGAAATAATTTCCAGCTGTGAGTGATTCTGAAGCTGATGTGGCATGTCTGCAGCAGATAACAGAGGTCAGAAATCACTCTTTAAAGCTTTAAATCCTCACTGTTTTGTTTTCAGGTGGATCTGTTGGCAGGGTGAAAATGACAATTCCTTGTAAAGAATAAATGCTTCTGTGCAAAAGTGCTTTTTGGGCAAGGCACTGACATTTAAATAGCAGTTTCTAGAAACTCGTAATGGTTTTAGTCAAGAAAATTAGTTCAGACAACCTGATTTAAGGATCATTTAGTAATTAAGAATTATCCAAATAAGACAATACAAATCAGACTTGATCTTTTGCATTGTCACACTAGATGATTTGCAGCTTACATTAGTGTGTCAAAGTTTCATGCAACTTGCAAGCTTATGTAGGAACGATGGTGTTTTACTGGGAAAGATGAAAATGTAAGTTGTAAGTGTTATTTGCATGCTTTTCACAATACATGCTGATCCAAAGCGGCATTGCAGAATATAATGTCTAAAAAGACTTGGTTTGGGTGGATGATGAAGAAACCTTGGGAGGAACCAAAACTAGATTAGAAACATATATTAATCTCAGCATTAATTATGGGATGATCCAAAAGCACAGGTGCAGCTGCAGGTGGAGGCGACTCAAACATATATAAGTCTGACGGGTCACAGTACTGAAGAAAGTGAAGACTGAGGAACATTTGAAGACTCTCATTCATCTGTATCTCCAACAACAAATCAACGTGTAGTAAGATAAATATTCATATTTATCAAAAATAAAATATTTATATTTATTAAAATATATAATTACCATATGATAATTATTTAATATATTTTTTATAAAATATGTGCAGTTTTACATAAACTATTCTGTCCATTCTCTTTAAAAAAATATTGCAAATTGTAAATCATTTATTTACAGTATTTGATCATTAGTTTGGTAGTTTGTATGCATGATATAAAAGGATTTTTAAAAATTAAAGTTTCCACACCATATCAATATATCAGCAACCAATAAAGTTATATTTTTTCCATCATAATTATGTTCAAAAGTATTGCATGGGGAAAGTATGCTTCTAAAATACATAGAATACAGATTGTTACAGCTGGCTAAACTAAAACTTAGAATAACTAGTTCAGTTCTCTAGTTCAACACTTTTTATATTATTTGTTTTAGTACTTGTTTATAAGGCATATATATATATATATGAAAATTTGTGGCATCTTGTGGCTTTTTAATTTTAAAGGTCCCATATTGTCAAAACTGAAATTTCCTGGCTTTTTTCACGATAACTGAGGTCTAGGTGCTATGTAACTACCATATAAGTTTCAAAACAGTCAGTCCACAGTAAAATGCAAACTATTTTTACAGCTACATTATTGTTCCAGCCACAATTAATCACAACAATGTATATACAATTACAAATGATTATATATAAATCGTCAGTTTGTTGTTTTATACAAATGCACACAGACATTATTTCATACATGACATAGTCGTGAGACCCTCCAGTTTCCCCTTTGTTTTGCTTCCTCCAGCTAGCGCTGTGACGTCGGCTGACCCTAGTTACCTGTGGTTGGCCCGGCCGTGCGTCACTCAGAAAACAACAGGCCAATCAGAAGAGAGGCTCATGAATATTAATTAGACAGGCCAAACTCGACCTGTTCTCAGCAGAGCTCCTGAGAGAGCAGCTGTAAAAATATATTGAGATGGTTTTTGGTACTTATACCGCAAATATATATTCTTAAGGACATCAAAACCTAAAATAAAACTCCAGAAAGGTGTAAAATATGGGACCTTTAATATAATAAGGAGAAGAAAGAAAACTTGGAGCTGTTTTTTTATGTAGTTTTTATGATAAAGTGACAGTATTTAAAAGCCCTCAGAAGCAGCACAATCATATATGTTTATACACAGTGATATATGCTTAGACAGAAGTTTAAACATTCACAATATTACAGTAATAAACTAAAGTGTCTTAATGCACAAACTCCCTCTATTCAGAGTCTTGTTTAAACTCCCGCCACCATCATAATGACCTCATTACCATTCAATCAAAGACAGTTGCCATGGAAAGCATCAGAGTGGTGTGTGAGTGTAAGTAATGCAGCTCTGTGTGTATTAAACACAGTCAGCAAAGTAGTTCGGGGAAACGACAGAGTGACACTCCTTCACCATCATCATCTCCACACTGTAACAACACAGAGGACAGTCACACTGTGAACCTTCAGGCCTGATTGTCACATGTAGATTATATATATATATTTTTTTTTTTCAATATATATTTATGATTTTGTAAAACTTACATCTTCTTTACAGCAGTGGGGATCTCTTTGGGTTTAGCTTTCCTGTAAAGAAATAAGACAGATGTAGTACTTTTGCATGTAATGTTTCATTTTTCAAACATTCTAATTAAAGCGTAAACACGTTTGTGTTATCATGCCAAACTAACATCAAGAAAATCATATCCTCCTTTGAATTTATGTATTAAAATAGCATTCACTAAACTAAAATAAGCATGAGTTTGCTGTGTACTTACGTGATGTTCATCAGGGTCTTCAGGCAGGAGATGTCATCAGTGATGTCATCGTCTGTCAAAGCTTGTGTGCAATGGAGAAAAAGAGCTCAGAGCTCTTTTCTTTGTTTTTAAACATTCACAGTGCTCCCTTGCTCTTTGAATTTTTCAGTGCAGAAATTAAAAACACTCACCAGAACAGGTCATGTTGCAGACATTGAGAGATGGGTTCATGCCGGAATCACAGGCCCACTGATCACTGAGCTGAAACACACCGTACAGGTGCCTGACAACTTTGGTGGCTGTGTTTGGCTGCGTCTCGTGGCCGGAGCCCTGGGGTCCTTTAGTGGGAGCATGTGCATGGGGCTTAGGTGGAGCTCCAGCTGGAGCCTGAGGTGGAAGCCGAGATGATGGAGCCTGAGGTGGACCTCTACGTGATGGAGCTCCAGCTGGAGCTTGAGGTGGAGCTCCAGATGATGAAGCCTTAGGTGGAACTTGGGATGCAGCTTGAGGTGGGGCTTGTGATGGCTTCATCTCCTTATTGTGGACCGTGGTGTTTTTGACAAAGCTGGTGTTGAAGGCTGAGCTGCTGGCCTTGCAGACAACTGCCTCAGAAAGGAAGAAAGACATAGATGAGGGTAATTTCTGCACATAACAGTGCAATTTGGCTTCCTGAAGATGGAGGGAGAAGCTGAAGAACAATAACTCACGTCTGGTGATGAGACTGTTCACGGTTATTGTCTCTTCCATGACGGTGATCTGCTGAAACTGAGCGGCATCCAGCTGGGCCTTCAGCTCACATTTATTCACGATCCGTCCCTCAGTCACACTGGACACCAGCAGTGCCAGAGCAAAAGCCGCCAACATCTTCACTGGGTTTACGCTCTTCATCTCTCTCTGTTTGGAAATCTGGAAATTAAATGTGTTCAGTTAATCCAGCTTGATTGCATCTTCAAGCAGAGCCAATAACAGATTACAAGTATTCAATAATTGCATATTCATGAATTAGTAGCTTTGATTGGGGGAAATAAAAATATCTTTAGTATTTTAGTGCTGATCCTGCACAGTTGGAGAATCTTCTCCAGCTTCAGTGTTTTTCTGTACTGTGGTCCATCTTATATATGTTGGGCTGACCTCCACCTGCGCTGTTGGTCCATCCCATCATTACGAGGAGATCATATTCCTGAGATGTCATTGCTCCGATTGCAAATGCTCAGGTTGTCACCTTTGTTTTTATTTATTTGCACTATTTATCTCCAGTGGTTTCCAGCTGAGTGGAGTGGAGTGATGTGAAGCTGATGTTTTGATGCTTGAGCCTTTGAGCTCTGTTTGTCTTTAGATCATGATGTTCTGCAACACACACAAACACCCACACACTCATACAGCAGCATTTCCAATTCAAATAGCTGAATACCACACTTGTCTTCATCTAGAGCCCACTGCTCGTCTAATAGCACTGCTGTGACTCTCTAAAGCCTCGAGTCTTTACTCTGTTTTGTTTGGGTGGATCTGAAGTGCGCAATGGTTTTGGTCTAACTAAAGCATCATTTAGCAATTATGAGTTATGCAATGAAATGTATTCATATCAAACATGATCTTCTGCATTATCATACCAGATGAGTTTGTTCTCAGGTAACTTCTTTTTTATGCATCTTTGAGTTTATGGTAGTATCATAACACTTTGAACATTTCTGTTTAAGACACGCTTATTGCCATATGTGACTGATTAAGGTCAATGGGTGGAAATTTTCTCCATTTCGGTCAGCATCCCAATCCAAATCTCTGAGCTACACTGCGAGGGCTCATTTGAGTGTATTCAAATAGCACACAAATACTTGGTTTGCTCAAAAATGCTTGCTTTGGCCTTTGTGTGTTGTTGTTTCAACATGTAAATGTGAACGTCACATGGCACAGGACAAATAATAAATTAGATAAAAGGACACACAATCATTTTAAAGCACAATTTCAAGGATTATTCATCATATTCTTGTGAATATGCCATCACTATCCTTTTAAAATGTTATTTTATTATATATGCATGCAATTTATTTAATTTATATTTTTTATTTAAGATATATTCAATAAATAATATATTTTTATATTCTATATTTGAATATATTATTAAATTTTTTAATGTTCCAAAGAGCATACAAAGCAGATAACATGGTCAATATCATTAATTTGCTTGTGTAATATATGTAATATAATACGTCCCTGGTAATAGAAGGACACAATGGAATTGGTTAAACAGAGTTGATTGTGATTCATTGGGTCTGAGGGCAGGTGCACAAACAGAGGAAAAATCGGACATAAAATAGCGGCAAAAATAAATGGTTTGAGCTCTCTAAAAAAATGAATGAAACATCTACTAACAATGTATCTGTGATTTAAATGTTCTAAAAATAATTTTATGAGAATACACGGCTACTTCTTGAATGGCTGTCGGTGGAGAAAGATGCTCTTTGCAGACAGATGGGGTAGTTACATCTACCAGCAGAGGTTAACTGGACCATACAAACCAGCTAAATCCTGACTTCTTGGACGGTAAAACATTTGCCTTGTGGTAGCTAGACACAAACGAACATGCTTCTACCTTTCATTAATGCAAACACTGATTTGTTTGTTGTTTTTGTTGTAAAGACAGACTTAGACAGGTGTATTTTTTTTTATATATAATTTTTATTTGCATTCTGAGGTATGCATGTATGAGATACATGCAGCATAACTGTGGCTATTTTGAGAACATCTTCCAGGTACGCTGAAGAAACGCTGAATGTTTCAGGGACACTCAGCAAAGTACTGCGCAGGATTGACGTTGCGGCACTCGTTCACAGAAAGAATTATGTGTGGCCTAAAAGACAATAAACACAATGTGGTGAAAGAAGGGTTACATCTCGCAAAGCTTATTGCTGCAGTTATAAATATATTGCTAATATTATTTACAGAAATATTTTTTCAATAAGTTTTAGTTACTTCTATTTCATCATGTATTTTTTATATTTTTGGCCATTTTTTATTTATATTGTCCAAAATATATTTTGTATATTTTTCACTTTGAAATGTATTTCCTTAAGCCTTTCGGGTATTGAATAAAATATAAATATAGTTCTAATCAGTATTTCTCTAGACTCATGCCATCTTTTAATTGTTTGACTTACTTTTTCTTGGGCAGAGAAGCCAAGGCTGAAACAGTGCTGTAAGAAAACAGGAACAGGAATATTACTATTTATGAATGTGGTTAACTGACATTGGTTAATTATGAGAAAAATACACTTGTTTAGTTGCTTTTAGTAATATTTATGTGTTTTACAATGAAGACTTTTGGCCATTTACAATTACATTGTATTGACAGTGGTCATCGGCAATGCTCCAAAACTGATCTGACCTCAACAGAGTCATGCAAATGAGCAGTGACAGAATGTGGTGACTACCAATGGGAGCGTAGATGGGGATCATGTGATTAGCGGGACTGAAGATGACGACTTACGCATTCCTTGCGCTGTCCAGCAGGGTCTTAAGGCATGTGATGTCATCCCTGATGTCATCATCAATCAGAGCTTTGGAAGAGAAAATTTATGTTGGAAAAAATTAGATGTCACTTAAATTTGATTTGTACTATGATTATGAAATTGCGATGAAACTGTGTGATGTGCTATTTTGTATAAGGTATTCACTTTGGTTTTTTTAATTATGAATTGGTGGCTAATCTGTACAGTGCCATTCATCAGTCTTTGTATGATCTGTTTGTGAATTTAAAGTCCGCGTGAACCGGAAGTTGCTGCCAACTTTATTTCAGTGTAGTGACGTATTTCCATCTGAAACGGAATATTGAGGAGAGGGCGTGGTTTTAGTGCTCCTCCTCTCATCTCTCACTCATAGCAACCTAACGGTTGGAGGGGTGTGTTTAAGGATATTCTGCCCAAGCCATCAAACTGAGGTCATCAGAGAAGGAATGCAATTCCAGAGCGGAAGCAAATGTTCAGATTTTGATTAAAGATTACCAAGACAAAATTTTTTTTCAGCAGATTAACTTGCACGGTTTAATTGTTCACATCAAGACTAGCAATGTGCGCTAGTAAATGAAAAGCTAATTAATTAAATCATAATAATGAAAATTAAAATAAATCTTTTTAAAAGGACATCAGTCAATAAAACACTTAATAAAAAATATGAAATATTATCCCTGTTTACCAGCATGTCATGCGACCATGTGAATAATATGTAATCATGTAATCAATAAAAAAGTAACTGTAGTCTGAGTATTTTAAAATTTCATTTACTACATTTATTACATGTAGCTACTACATTTTTGTAACCTTGTAATCGGTTACTACCGAGCGGCAGCCTCCCGCTCTCTCTCGTGAAGCCAACAAGGAAGTGACTTAAACTGTAATTCATCAACTGGCCGCTAGAGGCTGGCTGCAAAAGGGAGTCAATCCCATAGACTCCCCTTGTTAAAATGCCCAACTTTACAGCAGAAAAAAACATGTTTACAGCCTGGTTAAAAAAATTATTTTGGTCTATATAGCTAATTTTGCCCTTCATGACAACTGTGAGGGGGGTGAATTTTTTTATAACTCATCCGTTTAAATTATATTAAGCCTTAAAGTTCTGCATAATTAAGGGTGTGGCCACTTGAGTGACAGGTGGATTGCCGCTGCTGTCACCACCGTCGAGCTAGGTGGGCGTGGCTTCAGCAACCAGCTCCCGCCTTTTTGCCCATTTTCGATTATCCGGGAGTGACGCGCGGTGACGCGCTGCCAAGATGGCGACGGCTGGCTCCGCCTACTTTAGGCTTCAAAACGCTCGTTGGAAGTCTACGGGTGACGTCACGGACACTACGTCCATGTTTTTATACAGTTTATGGTTACTACTCAACACTGTATGTAACTATTTTGTGTTTTGACAAATTGGTGGCTAATTTGTATGAATTTGTACAATCTCATTCGTACGTCTTCGTACAGTCTGCCTACAGTTAGGTTTAGGGGTGAAGCTTTGTGCATTGTATGAATTTATACGACATCAACACCTTGTAAATTAGTTACGTTTTCTCATGAGATCGGGTTCAATCTATTCTGTTTATAATCACTTTTGTAACCAGTCACGTGACTCACCGCTGCATTTCATGCGGCAGATGTTCAAACTCTTGCCGGATCCGGAATCACAGGCCACGCGGTCGCTCAGCTGGAAGATTCCAAACAGTTTCGTGGCGAGACGCTGCCTTTCTCTGGAATTCTCCTCGGAACTCTCGGAACTGTCATCAGACAATCTAGCTGGGCGCCTGAGTTGTGCCGCAACGTGGGATCTCTTTCCCCTTGGTCTTCCACCGGGACGACCGGGTCTTCCGCCTGGTCTTTCATTGGGTCGTTGTGGTGGTCTGATAGGGGGTCTCACTGGGGGTCTCACTGGAGGTCTGGAGTCCTCTCGGATGGTGGTGACCAGGCCGGTGTTGAACTTCGACACACGCTCCACAGTACAAACGACTGAAAGAAAGACAGAAACACTCTTGGCTTACATTTGTACCAGTACTAGTTGTCAACTGACAGAGTGTACCCTTGCAACACTTACTTTGGGCGATGAGGGTCAAATTTGCAGTATTTCCAGGCACACTTGAAGTCACATTTTCAGGCACAACTGCAGTCACATCTACAGGCCTATTAGTGACAGTTCCAGGCACCTTTCCTCCCAGAGCTGCCTGGAGCTGGGACTTCAGCTCACATTTACTGAGAATCCGTCCCTCACTCGCACTGGACACCAGAAGAACCAGAGCCAACACGGCCAACATCTTCCCCTTCATCTCTCTCTGGAGATTAAACACAGAGCAATGGATAAATCCAAATCAAACAATCCTAATCTGCAGTTTAAATGTCTGTTCTCTTCATACTGCACCAATAAAGTGCTTGCAGTGAAGGAACTTAACAATCACAAATGCTTCCAGCAATCATCTAGATTCGTTCTCAGGAAAAATGTCCTTTTGCCTTTAGCTTGTCACTGGGTTAATACCCTCAAAGGGACACCTTGGTAACTTAAGGGTATAAATGGCTCATCACTCTTGCATATTTTGATGCAGTTATAAAATGATGCATTAGAATTTTTAGCCTATAGCAGACAAATGAGCAGTATTGGTGAAGCATTTTATTATAAAATGTTCAAAAGTGATTTTACCAGAGACGCTTTGACTGTCGTAGTGTAGGTCTAGTCGTCAGTCTTGCTTTGGGCTGCTGTTTGTTTCCACTATCCGCTGTGTGCTGAATGGACGAGCATGGGGATTTTTATACTAAATTTAATATGATGACCTCACCGCGTCAAACTCACTAAACCTGTTGAAGAACCGCCACATGACTCGGATTCCAAAGACAAATTGCATGGATTGCATTACACTTTTGAAACAGCTCCTTATCCGGTGTGTCTGATGTGATGTAACATCAGGTGGAGGTGAGTCGGGTTTTGCTTCGTCATTTAACCTCGCAGCATTCCAGCTGTTTTTAAACGGTGATCTTTGTTGTGTGCGAAGATCCTGGTGGATGACTCAGTGACTCTGCAAAAAAAATTAAACATTTCTGGTTTATTATTATTGTTATTATTTTGTTTTACATTTAAATTTCAAAAGGTTACCACTGAACTTAAGAACTCAAAAGAACTCTCTTTTTTCACTGATGTCAAAAGTAGAGCTGTCAGGTGTAATATCAGTGCATTATTAATATTTTTGTAGTATCAATTAAGTTTGGTGTGCTGTTAATGATTTGCAATGAACATGCAATTTCTCTAGCTTAACATGTTTTTTGCAATGATATTAAAAATGTTTCAGGGTTAAATGGTATAGGTTGAAAAACAATGCAAAAACATGTTGATGCTACTGTACACTGTTTATTTATTTTACATAAGCAATTGCCTTCTAAACAGAATGGAATATTTAGTGTGATTAACTCACAATTGACTCACATTTTGAAGTTAGCATGTTGCTTAATGAGATACTTTTTAAATATTATATTAGAACCCATAAGGCAAAAATACATATTTTTTTTAGATATTGAATATTTTTGAAATATATATTAAAATACACAAAAATGGCCAATTATATTGGTAACATTGATGGTCAAAATATATTTACATAAATATATTTCAGATTTTTTTACATAAAAAAAAAAAAAAGAAATTAATTTTATTCAGCAAGAATGCATTAAATTGATCCAAATAAAGACATTTATAATGTTACAAAAGAATTTTATTTCAAATAATGCTGTATATCAGTATTTCACGATTATTGTTTTTACAGTCAAATAAATGCAGCCTCGGTGAGCAGAAGAGACTTCTTTCAACAACAAAATTCTTAATTATTCCAAACTTCTGACCGGTAGTGAAAATACTGATAAATATGTGATAAAAAAAGACTTTTATGATTTTACATCCTTAAATATGGTGTCAGAAAGACAAATCACAGCATAAATTCTTTTTTTCTGTTTTTAAATGTATTCATTGAAATGTACTGTACTGGAAATGAATAGGGAAAGCCCAGACTCTGTGTTGCATGTATAGTGGGTGGACTGGTATTGCACACCTGTGCTTGGATTCCTATTATGTAATTTTAGTAATTAATAAGACGTATCTTGTGTTGTTACAGAGCTGTTTTGTCTAGAGTATTTGACAGAGAGACGCTATTCAACTAAATGATATGCATTTCTCTGATAAGACTGTCAATCTTTATTCTGCAAAATACATGTTCCTTCAAATATGCAGATGCCCACAAACGATTTATTGAATTGAAAAGTATTTTAAACTGTGTACATAGTGGCTCCAAAATGTAATTAGACACTTGATCGCATTAGATGCATAATATCAAACCAAGTCGCTTTCCAATTTCTGTTATTTTTTAACAGCTTGAGGTCATTTTTTGTGAATGCATAAGTTAATCATATTAACATATGAGCACGTTTCACAAAGTTTAATAACAAAAAGTGTCCAAGATTTTGAACAGTATATTATTGTTTTACACTGTAAAATCGAACAAACATTTTTTTTTAATTGGAGTGCATGTGCTGTTTCTTTTCTTTTTTTAAAGAAACAAATACTAGAAAGTTACTATTATAGTTTTATTATTTTGTTAGTTTTCATTTTAACTTCATTTTAGTTTTTATTTTACTTTAAATTTTAGGTAAAGTTTTATTGCGTTTTTGTCATTTTTTAGTAGTTTAAAAAAATATATGTCTATATAGTTTTTATTCATCTTTATTTTACTTTTAGTTTTTTTATTGCATCAAGTTAAACTAAAAATATGACATAGAAAAATAAAAAGTTTAAGCTTTTTAATATGTATTTCAGTTACGTTTTTTTGTTGTTTTGTTTTTAGTTTTAGTTAACTATAATAATAACCCTGTATAAACCCTAACTGAAATAAATATTAAAAAGCTTAAACTTATTTTAAACACTTTTTTTGCTTTTCTTTGAAAAAGGTGTTTATGTTTCTTGTTCGTTAATGACATAACATTTTAAGTGTGACTTAAGTGTCCAAATACTTTCACGTTCTATTGGATCTGTCATTAAATGGCCTAATTGCTGGACTTCTGAAAGGAGTAACTAGTAATGAGTAATATATTACATTCTTTGAGTAACTAGCCCAACACTGGTTACGATGCAGGTATTGAATATCAGAGACGATCCATTTGACAACTCTCCGACAAAGAAAAGTTGAATTGTTCTGCCTCTCTCTATCAGTTTGCAGGAAGTGAAGACGGGTGAAGAGTTTGAGCTATTTTTGATGTGTACACAAGACGAATGTCAGCATGACGTTGACAAGGACGTCAGCCTCTCACAGCTGCGATTAACTGATATCTAACAGTTAAATATGATTAAATATGTTTCCCACACAATGTCCTTTGTCAAATAAAGCTTCAAAGGCAGGTGGAGATTACTGCTCACTTGTTAGTTACTCATTTGTTTGATCATCTAATGAATTGCATTGGGATATTTAAATATTTACATAGCTACTGCATTTAACCCATGTATGATACTATTCTAACGTTGTACTTTGAGGCAAATCTAAACCAACACAACTGCACAGATCAGTCAGCTTAACGTAATCACCCAAATCTTTACAAAGCAATTCACATAAAACTCACTGACATTTGTACTTGAGGTTTCACATGAGTTAATGTCTTTACTGTTTAAGGCTAATCATTACAGAACTGCATGAAATATCAGTGTGCATGTTTTACATGATAGATCTGTGCCACTGTGTGATTACATATCACCAAAATAATGTTTTTTTCCTCAGTCGAAAGGTTTAGATAGCAATTTTGATAGGAGCTTCATCTCATCTCTGCTGCTGCTCCAGTGGCTCTGGATGTGAACTCAGTGTGAACTTTTGGAAATCAGCGCCTGTGTAAAAACAGCACAAAATATTACCAACAAATGGTCCGTTTTTGGCATTTCGTCCCCTCTGAGCTGCTAAACTCCTCACGTTTCCGAGTGTTTTGTGCACCGTGTGTCATGTCATATTGTCATGTTGATAGAGAATCTCTTCAAGGTACAGTGATTTTGCGGCATGCGCATTTCATGATTGCTGCATTCTAGCACAAACCACTGAAACAGTGTCTGAAAACAAACAATTTGTATTTCACCCTTAAATAAAAATATAATGTTTTACCAAATATGTTATTTGTTTCTGTGAGACACAAATGGAGAGTTTCCCATAAAACTGTCTACAGGTTGTCAAGCACTTAAAAAGACAAACAAAGCACCATAAAAATGACAAGAAAATAAAAGAAAACAACAACTCATTATTCATTCTCAAATCAAGTAATTCAAACAATGACATGGCTTTCAAATCAGTGTTACTTTAGTAGCATTGATATACTATTACAGTATCTATTAGTATTTTGAATTATTTTTTATTTGTATATTTTCTGTTGTTGTTTTTTTTGGCTAAAGTTTTATTAATTTTGTACGTTTTTGTCATTTTTATTTGTTTAAATGTCTGTAGTTTTTATTCATTTTTATTTCAGTTTTAGTTATTTTAGTAGGCTAAATGAAGTTAAAGGAACACTCCACTATTTTTGAAAATAGGCTCATTTTCCACCTCACCTGGAGTTAAACAGTTGAGTTTTACCGTTTTCGAATCCATTCAGCCGATCTCCGGGTCTGACGGTAGCACTTTTAGCTGTAGCTTAGCATAGATCATTGAATCTGATTAGACCGTTAGCATCTCGCTCAAAAATGACCAAAGAGTTTCTATATTTTTCCTATTTAAAACTTGACTCTTCTGTAGTTACATCGTGTACTAAGACCGACGGAAAATGAAAAGTTGCGATTTTCTAGGCCGATATGGCTAGGAACTATATTCTTATTCCGGCGTAATAATCAAGGAAATGTGCTGCCGTACCAGGGGTGCAGCAGGCGCAATGATATTACGCAGCGCCTGAAAAAAGTCCCCAGCTAGGAAACTTCTAACGTGACTGGCACTAAGTTTGTGTAGTTGGTTATGTTGATGGAAGTTAGCCTATTTTCAGGTGCTGCGTAATATCATTGCGGTCTTAGTACACGATGCAACTACAGAAGTGTCAAGTTTTAAATAGGAAAAATATAGAAACTCTTTGGTCATTTTTGAGCGAGATGCTAACGGTCTAATCAGATTCAATGATCTATGCTAAGCTACAGCTAAAAGTGCTACCGTCAGACCCGGAGATCGGCTGAATGGATTCGAAAACGGTAAAACTCAACTGTTTAACTCTAGGGGAGTTGGAAAATGAGCCTATTTTCAAAAATAGTGCAGTGTTCCTTTAAACTAAATGACAGTTTCCGCAACTAGCTGCAATATAAAATAATAACATTTCTTTTAACTTTTCAGCTAACTTTTTTTTATAGTTTTAGTCTACACTGTAGACTGTAAATAATTTAGAGATTTTGCCATTTCAACTCTTTTTTTTTTTTGTAGACATAACAAAATATTTTATAAATTGTCCAGACAACAAGAAAATTTAAGTTTATTGGCCCTCAACTAAGCTGAAAGTTAGTTATATAACTAGTTATAACTAGTATAACTGTTGTTGCAACTCAAAAATGCATGTTGAAACAACTGCATCACATCGAAAAAAAATTAAGACAACAGAAAATGTTAAGGTAGTGGGGTAACAAATTGTTTTTACAGTGTATGATAATACTGTCAAATTGTTGACATTCCTAACTATAGTTTTACCGATAAAAAACTTTACATCTGAAAGTGACAGTTCGTGCTTGTT